AGGTGATGGAACGGTTTGGGTTCAGTAAGGGGATTCTCGAAAGTTCCAAGATTTCCTCTGCCCAAGCTATATAAATAACCTGGCCCATTTTGGTTGGTGATCTCACTCTCAGATTACCCAGTGCTACCCCAACTCACGCTTCTTATTTCAGAGACCCCCTGACTGGTATGGTGATGCCTGGTGGTTTCATTAGTAACCACTTGGCCATATTTAGGAACAGCATTGAACAGAACACCAAAGGAACTGTCTTCCTGTTCCACCATCAAGGTGGGGGTGAGGGAGAAAACAGGAAGAAGAGACGGAAACAGAAAGTGTGACCAGTATCTCTCCCTGGCCTCAGTTGGGCTATGATAGTCTGAGATTAATATGCCTAAGGATTCCATATTAATAATGAATAACCCTATTTATTCACAACCTGTACCTCCTTCTGTTGTGGGTGCCTTTTCTACTTGTTGGGAAGTGATAATCCAATGACACCCACTCTCCTTGAATGGTTTAGATTCTCATGCCATCTGTAAGCCAGCCAGTCTAGACCAAGGGCACAGTTTGCTAATGTAACACAAAAAGGGGCCAAGACATGCTTTCACACCTCTCTCTAGCCCTCCACTTAATTTTGGCATTTCAAGGACTCCAGAACATTAGGGAGGAGGAAGGTGGCAATGCCGTTGTACATAATAAAAGTGCAGAGGAATGTCTGGAGCAAGATGATGACCTCTGAGTTGTGTGGCTCCTAATCCCAGTTTAGACACAAGTTAGGAGACTCCCTAAAAAAGTGATGTGCACTTTACTGGGGGAGGACTGAGTCCTCCGTGAATATCCATCCTGTGGGACCTGTGTTATTCCTGTTGAATTATCTAGAAGTTGCAGGAGCTTGGGAAGCTGAGATGAGAGAATAAAAATAATGAGTGGGAGAATAAAAATAAGCATGTGACAGGGAGTAGAGAAATTGGTCAGGTGGTGATAGAAACAAAGTCCTTCATCTTCTCTAAGTTCCAGCAGTTGGCTCAAAAGACTTCAGGGTAATATTCTGAAATGAAGCTCAGAGTTCAGCAAAGAGTCCTTGCTGGGTTTTTAAATCCCCCATGGTTTACCCTTCTCCACTTAAAGTACCCCTGCCCCGCACTGCCCTTTATTGCCTCTGTTTCTAAAGGGTGTCAACAAGCCATTGGAGATCAATACACATTAGTCCATCTGTTTTCACTTTGAGGTGCCACATTCAGCATATGTCTTGCAATTCTTCTGATTGATTACTCTAAGCACTGACAGTTTGACTTTGAGTTGGAGTTCTCTTCCCTTATCTACAGTTATAGTTTAACTTGTAGTCAACCAAGTTTTCCATAACAGCTCTGGTTATTAAAGACCATTTTTGGTCAAATCAGAGAGTTAAGTTGCACACTTCCATCCCAAAGCATTGCACCATGGGGATGTTCTCTAGCCCCTCAAGTTTGTTCATCACTTTTTATTACTAGCTACCCAAAGTCTGGCCCAATGCAAATCCATTTATTTATACACATTTATATCTACACAACTGTTCTACCTTCTCGACGTGGCCAGATGCCAGGGTCACCAGTTGAATTTGGAAGATCAACCGGTGCACAATGAAATGAGGTGAAGACTAAATTCAGTCTGTGGCCCCTCCAAATGCATCAAGTTAGTTATTGATGAGCAGACTTTGGAGGGCACGAGTAACTGTGCTCCAATAAGCAATATTTTCTATATACATATATATATTATAATTTTATAGTAGGAACTGTCTCCCACTGTCCCAGCCATTAATTCCTGAATAAGAAAGACATGGGATCAGATGACTGGGATTTGGGAGATTTCAATAGTTGAGTTTGTGGATGCAAAAGTACAAATTACTGAAGGCTGGCCAAAACCACATCATGAAACCCCTAATTACTCATGCCGCCGAGTGGCATTTTAGCACAGATAATACACACATGAATATCCAAGATGTCATTTATCTTTGGTTTTGGATTATGTGCTATGACTGTTTCTTTTTGCATCATATTTTCCACATTCAATATTATTATTGTTATCATTATTATTAACTTTACATAACCTCACAGCATTGCAGAATTGCAGAGATAGAAGAGATTTGGTGGATTAGTTGATCTCATAATTTTCGAACTGTTTATTGAAGATTCAGTGTTCTGGAAAGAAGCCCTGGGGAGTAACGGAAGGACAATTGGGGATGCAGGTCCCTTGTTATACAGATTGCAAACTGAGTCCCAGGGAGGCAGTGAGACCTCATAAGCTGGTTAGTGTCACAGCTGGTACTAGAACCTTGATCTTCTGGTTCTTAGAAAAAACAAGTATCTATGGTTTTAAGGTTTAAGACAATCATTCCAAAAATGCAAACCAATCTCAAAACCTAATAAAATTCATAGAGCTTTGAAAGATTTGGTCCAAGAATCACAGCAAAAATATTTCAAACACAAAATGTCTAATAGTGGTTTTAGACATTTGAGTTATCATCTATTTTACTCTATCAAAACTGGTCTGCAAATGTGGGGTTAGAAAAATACAGTGATCAGGCAGGGCACAGTGGCTTATGCCTGTAATCCCAGCACTTTGGGAGGCCAAGGAGGGAGGATCACCTGAGGTCAGGAGTTTAAGACCACCCTGGACAACATGGTGAAACCCTGTCTCTACCAAAAATACAAAAATTAGCCGGGCATGGTGGCAGGCGCCTATAATCCCAGCTACCAGGGAGGCTGAGGCAAGAGAATCAGTTGAACCTGGAAGGCGGAAGTTGCAGTGAGCCAAGATCGCACCACTGCACTCCAGCCTAGGTGACAGAGCAAGACTTGCCTCAGAAAAAAAAAAAGAAGAAGAAAAATACAGGATCAAGTGTGTCAGCCAAACTGCTGACCAGTGCTGAGCAGTGCAGTGTGTTTCTGTGTATGTGTGTGTGTGTATGTATGAAGTATGTGTCTGTTTGGTAGGTGTTTGTTTATGTGCATATGACGTGTGTGGACTGTGTGTGAGTGGAGTGTGTGAGTGGTATGTGTGTCTGTAGGGTGTGGATGTTAAGTGTATGGCAGTGTGTGTGATACATGTACATATAGAGTATGTGTGTTACGTTTGTGGGTATGCACATGCAGTGTGACTATGTGTGTGATATGTGTGTCTGTAAGGTGTGAATGCTAAGTATGTGCATGGCTGTGTGTACATGTGTTTGTAGGGTATATGTGTGTTATGTGTATGGGTATGTACATGCAGTGTAACTATGTAATGCATATGTGTTTGTGTGTGGTGTGCATGTGTGTCTGGGTGGAAGGTGTGTGTGAGTGTGTGTGTGTATACCTGAGCATGTGTGTTGTGTATATTTCTACATGGTTCTTTTGTGTTTGAGTGTGGTGTCTGGAAATGAAGTGTGTGAGATACATGTGTGTGCAGTGTGGATGTATGTTATGTGTATAGGTATGTGTTTGTGAATCTTTGTGTATAGTGTGTGTAGTGTGGGGGTCTTGGGGGATGCATGTGTGTGTGTGAGAGAGGAGAGAAAAATTCAGAGACACACTGAAAAACATAAAAACAGAATGTCACAGACAGACAGAAAAAGATTTGTGGCCAGGCGTGTGGCTCATGCCTGTAATCCCGGCACTTTGGGAGGCCGAGGTGGGTGAATCACAAGGTCGGGGGTTCAAGACCAGCCTGGCCAAGATGGTGAAACCCTGTCTCTACTAAAAATACAAAAATTAGCCGGGTGTGGTGGCAGGCACTGGTAATCCCATCTACCCAGGAGGCCGAGGCAGATAATTGCTTGAACCTGGGAGGCAGAGGTTACAGTGAGCCAAGACTGTACCACTGCACTCCAGCCTGGGTGACAGAGTGAGACTCCATCTCAAAAAAAAAAACAAAAACCAAAAACAACAAAACAACAAAAAACAAACAAAAAAAGATTTGTCATAGTCCCTAAATGATAAAAATAAAAACTCCCTCCTAACTCTGAAGAGAGAAGGATCAAGATTTCTGTCCTGGCTCCACTGCATACTGGTGCAAGATTTAGGGCAAGACATGCCACATCTTCACCGTATGGCTTCCTCTTCAGGAAAATGCATAAATAACACAATATCTTTCTGGGACACTTGTGTTGAGAATTTCATGAGATAATATACAGAAAGTGTTTCAGAGAATGTCCAACACATACTTAGGTGTTTAAGAAATGGGAGTTATTATTATTGTTATGATTATTTTAATTGTATCTATTTTTATTCCTATTATTTTTATTTATGTATATATATTTTGAGATGAAGTCTTGGTCTGTCACCCAAGCTGGAGTGCAATGGCGCGAACTTGGCTCACTGCAACACCCACCTCGCAGATTCAAGCATTTCTCCTGCCTCAGCCTCCCAAGTAGCTGGGATTACAGGGAACTGCCACCATGCCTGGCTAATTTTTTGTGTGTGTTTTTAATAGAGACGGGGTTTCACCATGTTGGTCAGGCTAGTCTCAAACCCCTAACTTGAAGTCATCCACCCACCTTGGCCTCCCAAAGTGCTGAGATTATAGCCACTGCCCCCGGCCTTATTACTATTATTACTCAATTATATGCCACTTGTTCAAAATTGAAAATTTCCCACAAGGTAGACTGTTTTCCAGCCCCCACCACTTACTCTTTTATTTGCTGGCAAGGTGTTTCTAGAATTATTTGACTTTCTATAAAAGTCTCCAAATATTTCAGGAGTAATTTTCAAGTACAAGAACTTCTCAAATGTAGGATGCCATTGCTGTCATTGTGTTGATTTTTGAGAAAATAAATAAATACCAAAACAATGCAAGGAATGGTCACCATATCCCAAGTTTCCAGATGCATGATCTTCTCTCAGTGAAAGGAATGAAATTCTTTGTTCATCTTTCAGACTTGGCTTATTAAAGTAATTTCCACCAAGTTGTTTCTGACAGTTAATAAGGAGCATTTTAATTCACAGAGGAAACAGAGGAAAGGGGAAGGAAGCAAATATCTGCCTTCTATAAATCAGACTCTTTAAGGCATTGATTTCATTAAATATTTAAAATCCAATGATGTTTGGATTAGCGTCTCCATGTTACACAGCAGGACAGTGTGACTTCAGGAGATGATAAAATTTCCTGCCTAATGTGACACAGCCAGAAAATGGCAGAGTGAAGCCACGCTGCTTGGGCCCACCCAAGAATTTAGTCTTCTCAGCCAAGAGCATTAAGAAAAATAACAAACAAAAGAGGTGGCATGATTCCATCCAGAAAAGATGGTAGCACCTGAAAATCCAGAATTTTCAGAGTGTGGTTCCATAGGCAGCTTACAGGGAACACGATGGCCCACCCCCAGTATGGCTTGGTTCACTTTCCTTGTCTTCTCCACAGACCAGCAGAAGACCCCACCAGAGATAAAGCTCAGAATGTACAAATCCAAAATTTACCCAGCCCAGGAACATCCAGAGACCAATAACTTCCTTGTCTCCCAATCTGGCTGTCTCCTTTCCTTTGGTAACCACCTCAGTTGTTTTCGTTTCTCATTTCTTTTTCTTGCATGTAGCCCTTGGCTTGTTTCCATGACACCCAGCTTCTAAATAGAAGCGATGTGAGATTTTCTGCTATAGCAACATTCCTTGGGTGTTAAAGTTGCTTTGTTTTGAAAAGGCTGATGGTGGCTTAGCCACAGAAGAATGAACATGATGCTTTGGCTCCTTGCTGGGGAGGCGCCCGTGGGAAGGTGTCACCTGTCACTGGGAGACAAAGAAAAGTCGTGCTCTGTCACTCTTTGGGTGGCAATTCTGTTGAAGTCACTAACCCTGCTTGCTCAAATTCTGCATCTGCGTCTGATGGGGTGCAGGCTCTTTTAGGGTTCTTTTCCAGATGTCTTTTGTGAACGCCACCCTCTGAGACAGTGATATGGGGTTTTAGGATACCTGCTTCAGTGACTTTTATGACTTCATCTTTCTGCTTGCTGCTTTTGAGAAAATGGGCTTCACACAATAGCGAGATTTATGACTCTCCCTAGCAGCTTTCACAGAAAGAGTTAGCAGAATGAATGAGGAAACATCTTTTCTCTTCTTGCCCATATCAGAATTTCGGGGTGTGAAGACTGCGTGCTGAGTCTTCTTGTTTATAAACCTACCTTCCATGAGCCTTCAGATAAAGGAGAACTAGTTTTATTTAAAGTAAGCTAATAGTGTTAATTATGAGAAATATGATAAAGTTTCTTTTTAAATCCTAGTGATTAGCAAAAGACCAATACCGAAATTACAAAGAAAATTCTAGAATCTTCCTTGGTGACACTCAATTCATGTGTAATCCAAATACCCAAACATTTGGTATTGCATTCTACAATTATTTGTCAAATGCCTGCTACACATTAGGCATTGTGATAGGCAGTAGATACGTAAGAACAAACCAGATAGGCATGGTTTCTCAGGGTGTTGATGAGCTACTGGGGAGGACAGACACCTAGACTCTATACAAGAAATTTGGTCTAATGAAGAGAGGGTCCTAACTCACTGGAGATCAGTGAGAGTGCTCAGGATGAAGTGATGTTCAGAGACTCCTGTACCTTGTCCTCTTTCTCCATTGTGTTGGGCCCAAGCTTAAATAGTAACATCTGAAAGTTTAATTCTCTAACCCAGAAGATTCCATGATCATGAAGGTGATGATAAACCCTTTCAGCTCGGGACCATCCATCATATCATGACACTCAGAGGTGATGTCAAATCTTTGATATCAAATTCTCTTTGAAGTTCATTTTCTGTCATGACATGGTTGTTGCGTCTAGGTCTATCTTTCTATTTTATATATGAGAGAATTCAGTAATGGAGGAGTGTGTGTCTTTATTTATTTTTCTTTTCTGTAGCTTAGATCTTGGTTACAAAATAACTGTAATATAGCCTATTAACCACACTTTATTGTAGGATTTTAAGAGCTACAAGGAGGTATTCAATCCTCCCACATTTTTGCTCACTTAAAGGAAGAAAGGATGGACACTTTCATTATTGCTGTTATCAGAAGAAAAAAAAAATACTTACTTTTGTTCCTCATTCTTGAAGCCATTTAAGATTTTGAATACCTACGCACAGGGAAAAAACCTACCATCAATTAGTAGATAATAGCGAAGTATATTCCACATGCCATGTAACCAAACATTTGTATCAAATATCCATATGCCTTTGGGAAAGTTGCCTCCTCTTTTTGTACCTAATTTTGTAATTGTGAAATCAGGAAGATTCACTAGATAATCTCAAAATTTATTTCTACTTCTAAAATTTGAAGTCCATGCTTTAGACTTTAACACATCTCCTGACATTAAGATATTCTAAGTCCTAGCCCAGAAGCACTTCCAAATGGCTTTTGATGTATAACACCAGATAAGGCAACTGAATTTTAAAATATGACCTTAAGTAAAGTTGCAAAGAAAACCCTTAAACAGCTCCATCTCTGAGGTTCCATCCTCTCTTAGAAGACTGAGATGTCCTCCTATAATCCAGGGTGTGAAAATATTCCAGGGGATGATTTGGGAGACAGGCAAGAGAAGGTAGAGAGGGAGAGATGAGGACTTGTCAAAGTAGACACCAATGAATGTGCAATCATTGACTGACTGAATGGGTCAGTTGACAAATGGATGAAGTTTTTATCTCTAATCTGGGAAGTGATTCAGTCACCAAAGTGGAATAAGGAAATCCTTCTCTACTAAGATGGAACAAGTGCTAAAAGTGGTATTCAAAGCACTGGTTTGAAATCCTGCCCCCTCCTGACATATATACACTTGCTATATAACCTTGGTGGGTTTAAGTAATTTCTTTGACCTTCAGATGATGATGATAATGATGATGATGATTGGAGGTAGGGTCTTGCTATGTTGTCCAGGCTAGTCTTGAACGTCCAGCCTCAAGCAGTCCTCCTGACTCAGCCTCCTGAGTATCTGGGATTATAGGCCACTGTGTCCAGTCTTCAGATTATTAAATTGGTAGAGTTTTTTTGTGAGAATGCAATGAGATCATATATTTAAGAGTTATTGGCTCATAGTACATGCTCAATGAAAATGTTGAGTCTAATTAGAATAATGATTTTGCTATGGTCTGAAAATGTGTATCCCCTCCAAATTCATATGTTGAAATCCTAAGCCCCAAGGTAAAAATGTTGGGACATAGGGCCTTTGGGAAGTTATTAAGTTGGGAGAGGACAGTACTCATGAAGAGGATTAGTGCCTTTGTTAAAGAGGCCCAAGGGAGCTCATTTGTCCCTTCGGCCAAATGAAAGTATAGCAAAAAGATGGCTGTCTATAAATCAGGAAATGGCCCTCACCAAACACTGAATCTGTGGGTACCTTGATTTTGGACTTCTGGTCTCCAGAACTGTGGGAAGTAAATTTCTGTTGCTTATAAGCTGTGCAATTTAAGGTGGTTTATTATAGCAGCCCGAATGCAGGGAGATTTCTTCACTCAAACTCCCTGAGAAGCAGTGGAACAACTTGGTAGTAAAAATAGCTAACAATGGGAGCAGCCAGTTCATGTTTATTCAAATGCACTGCACCCTCTCTCTCACCTCACACTTCTTTCAAGTCTTCCCATGTACACTCTGCCTTTCTTGAGATCAGATGCTGTCCCCTGTACTTGAGCCCTCTTCCCTCACTTCTTCTACCTAGTGAGCTCTTATTTTTATTCTCCAGGCCTCAATTTACATATCTCCAGCTTTCTCTAAGATTCCCTCCCTGCCCTCCCCAACCAAGCCCAGGCTACCACCCGCAGTGTGATCTCCTGTACCCTCTACGTGCCCTCCTTAGAACTCGTAACCCGCCATGTTGCTACTGTCTGTCCCACACCTCTCTTCCCCACCAGACCTTAAGGAAAAGAAGGACCAAGCCTGGATGTTGCCACTGTTGAATCTCCAGTACTCATTCCGGTTTTAGAAGAGACCAGACCCTCAACACATACGTGCTGGTTGAGGAAAGAGAGGCCTTCTGAGTACCATAGGAAGAGAGTCTAGGGAGGTGAGTACAAAATGGCAGCCACACTTTCCTCACAAGGGGGAAGAGATTCCTTGGCCTGCAGACCTTTGTCCCCTCTCCAGCCACCCCTGAAGATTCCATTCCAAGTCCTGGCACCATCAGAGAGTGAACTCTTTGATGGAGGCTTCCCACTTGCAGCGGAGAAGGCCCTCCCCTCCACCCACAGAAGACCTCCTTCTCCCAGCTCCCCGGGCCTCACTCCTTGTGTGGTGCCTCCCGTCCATTTTCAGTCTGGGGCTGCGTCTGCTCTTGGAGTCAGGAGGGGAATGTCTGCGCCTTCTGCGGAGACACAGCGAGGGAACATGACGTTTCCCTCTGGCCCCAACGCTGAGCGTCATTGGTGTTGGCCTGAGATCAAAGCCGCTGTTCCATTTTTAACCTCGGTAGGGCCCCACCTCACCCTGAGCATGTGTTCCTGACATTTCATTGTGAGCCAGGGGAATAAACAAAACCCACCTCCTGAGTCTAGCGAAGGACGCCTTCGGGGAGCTCTGAACTCGGCGAGGCAGATCAGTGCTTTTCCCACCGAGGGCCCCCCTTGTGCGCTGTGGTTTTTCCTGAGCTTACATGACACCACCGTAAGGGAGATGGATGGCTTTATTTTTGTGCAGAACAAATGTGCAGATGGTGACCCCCGACCAACAAAAAGAAAAAAACTTAGCGTGCAGAGGCAAGGGAGGAGGAGGCAAGGGGAGTCCATGTTGGCCTCTCCTCTCCCTATCTTTTCTCTTCTCCTGGGTCTCCCGAAAACGTCGCCAGAGTCTCCATCTGTGGTTGGTGGGGATATTGACAGGAGCCCATTTTATTTTCAAATTATCTGTTCTTTGTGGTAAAAATAAAAACATGCTTTTAGAATTTTCAAGCAATTAAAAAAAGATATAAGGACGAAAGATGATGTCTGGTACAAATTAGAACTCAATAAATATTTGTGGAAGGAAGGAAAGAAAAAAAATCCCTCCAAACTCCACCACTATCAATATTTTGATGAGCATCCTTCTATATATTTATGTGTATTCTAACTACATACCAAACATGATCATACTATATTCATATATAACATATTCATACTGTCTATGCACAATGAATACAGTACAATTGCTACTATAGTTACTATTTACTGCTGTATTTACATAGAATGATTGCTATGTATATGAACAAAATACATTTATATGGTATACACACATATAGTATTCACTACATTACCCTGTACTATACTATATTGTACTATAATATACGCTACAATGTCTTTTTTTTTTTTTTTTTGAGATGGAACCTCGCTCTGTCACCCAGGCTGGGGTGCAGTGGTGCAGTCTTGGCTCACTGCAACCTCTGCCTCCCAGGTTCAAGCAATTCTCCTGCCTCAGCCTTCTGAGTAGCTGGGATTGCAGGCACGCACCACCGTGCCTGGCTAATTTTTGTATTTTTAGTAGAGACAGCCAGGCTGCTCTTGAACTCCTGACCTCAGGTGATCCGCTCGCCACGGCCTCCCAAAGTGCTGGGATTACGGGCATGAGCCGCCGCACCCCACCAGTATATGCTACTAGGCTTTTAAAAAGTGCCAGTAGCATGTTCCTATTGTACTCACATACACGATCATACTGTTTGAGGTGTTTCGCTATCAGCTTGTTTACCATGTCCTGGACATCTTTCCATGTCTATGAATTTTAAAACAAATTCATCCCATTTTAAGGCTGCCAAGTAGCTATTTGTGTGGCTGTGCTATCACTTAACCACTCCAAGACAGCCACTTATGAAACCCCCACCTTAAAGTAAACTCCATACTTTTAATTTTTTTTTTCTCTTGTGACTCTGCCTCTCTGCTGTCTTGTAAGCCATATCCATTCGAGGTCAGAGTTTTCTACTTCCTCAACTGCAAAGTTGTCAGCATCAGAACAAGGGGTGCACATTTGCAGAAATCCTTTTGGATTTCTCTGTGGTGCTTTGGCTTGAAGAAAACAGTCCTCTCCTTTCTGCCTTCACCCACCTAATTTGTTTCCACATTTGTTGTTTTTTTTTTTTTTGTGGTGGCAATGACTGCGTCAGGCTTTAAAAGGATGGTGTCTGGAGATTCATAGCTTTTCAAAAGCTCTTTGTTTTTTTTTTCTGATGAACAGCCAGAACTAAGAAACAGGAAGGCATAGAAAGAACATGGCCTGTCGTGTTCAAAGGGGCCAAATTCTTGTTCGACCTTTGACCTCCCATGAAACAGTTTCCTCATCTGCAAAACTGGGGAGATTATAATGAAGCCGCCTTGCAGTGTTAGTATGAGGATTACAGTACGTGAGTGCCTGACACACAGAACTCCTCAGCCATGTCAGCTTCTCTTTCTGAGCGTGGAGTGAGGCAGGAGAGGAAAGGTTCTGAAATTAACTATATCTGGGTTTGAATCTGAGCTCAACCACTTTCTATTTTTTGTTATTTGTTTATTTTTAAAATTCTTTTAATTTTTTTGTTTTTATTTTTATTTTCTGAGACAGAGTCTTGCTCTGTCACCTGGGCCAGAGTGCAGTGGCACAATCCCGGCTCACGGCAGCCTCTATCTCCTGGGTCAAGCAATCCCCCCACTTTAGCATCCTGAGTAGCTGGTACTATAGGCATGCACCACCATGCCTGGCTAATTTTTTTTTTTTTTTTTAATTTTTAGTAGAGACAGGGTCTCACTATGTTGCCCCAGTCAGATCTCAAGTTCCTGGTCTCAATCTGTCCTCCCACCTTAGCCTCCCGAAGTGCTGAGATTACAGACAAGAGCTATGGTGCCTGACCCTTTTAAAATTCTTTTGTAGAGACAGAGGTCTCACTTGCTATGCTGCCTAGGCTGGTCTCAAACTCCTGGCCTCAAGTAGTCCTCCAGTTTTGGCCTCCCAAAGTGCTGGGACTACAGGCATGAGTCACCATATGTGGCCTTCAACTTCTCTCTAGATAAGTGACTTAACAACCCTCTAAGTTTCTGTTTTCTTTCTGTAAATTGGAGCTAAAATATTCATGAGACAGCAGAGTCATAAGGCTTACAGATAATGTCTGCAAAGGGCCTGGATCAGGGCACTCAAGTGGGAGCTGCTCTTATGATGCATTAGATTCTGACTCTTACCTCCAAACTTCAGGAAAAGCTTGAACTATCTTTTATTTCACATCTGTGGTCATGTTTTAGATGCCTATTTACATGTAGAACATGTTGGGACAAAATTCAGAAACTTCATTATAATCCTGCCTTTCCTATTTACTTCCTGAAAGACCTTCGGCAAGGCACCCTGGTTCCTACTTTTCTTGTTTCCCTAAATTGTTGATGCTATTTGTAATAAAAACACCACTGAATATATCCTTGGTACTTAACAGCTTACAAAGCATCTTTCATTATCATTATTTTATATGAACTTTCCAGCTGCTGGGCCAAGGTTTACCAGTACACATTTAATACCTCAATATTCTATCAACTTCAGAGCCCCTTTAAAATATGTTTATTTTTCTTTCTTAGGAAGCAAGTTATGGGCAAAGGGGTGAGAGTGGGTGTTAATATTTCCTGGGTTCTTCAGAGTACTTCCTTGTTCACCCAACTAGCATTGTGTAATTGATAGACACATACTAGTTACTGTACTACAATCTGAGGATAAAATAAGATATTGTCATGACTTTCAAAAGTCTCCTTGGCTGGGCATAGTGGCTCACACCTGTAATCCCAGCACTTTGGGAGGCCAAGGCAGGAGGATCGCCTGAGCCCAAGAGTTGGAGACCAGCTTGGGCCCCACCCAGTGAGGCCCCACCTCAAAAAAAAAAAAAAAAAAAAAAAGCCGGGTGTGGTGGCACACACCTGTAGTCCCAGCTAGTTGGGAGGCTGAGGTAGGAGGTTTGCTTGAGGCTGGGAGGTCAAGGCTGCAGTGAGCCATGATCGTGCCACCACACTTCAGCCCGGACAACCGAGCAAGAACCTGTCTAAAAAAAAAAAATCTTTTTAAATGGGAAAGATGTACATGTACACTGGAGCATGGAAAATATTCTAATCAAGATGTGCAGGGTAAAGTTGAAATACTAATGAGCAGGTATCTGGCCCTGGGAGTGGAGGCCAGTGTTAGAAAAGGTTTTAGGATAAGCAAAGTTTTGAGTTTATCTTCAATGAAAAGAGTTCATTTCATCCAAATGGGGCTGGCGGGGAGCAGAGGAAGTGGGGGTCAGGAAGGGAGTTCGTGGAAGACAGTGCAGTGTGTTTAAAGGCTTGGAGGCAGGCCCCGCCATGGTGTTTTCAGGGGACTCCAAGAAGTCTATAGAGTGGTACGTGGGGGCGAGCAGGAGATGAAACCAAAACCGTCAGCCATGGCCAGAGCTTGGAGAACCTCGTATTCCCTGTTGAAGAATCTGGGCTCTTCTGAGAGCCATGGTGGGTTTTACATGGGGGAATAGGATGGCCCAAGTTGTGTTTCTGGATGGCTGGATTTAAGATGGTGACCCAAAGGCAGGATTTGGGCTGAAGTGGTTTATTTGGGATGTGATCCCAGGAAGCAATGGGAGGGATGGGGAAGTGAGATAGGGAAGGAGGGAAAACCAATGAAGGCTGCACTGTAGTGAAAGCTGCACCACCAGGGCAAGGGAAGCCCTATTCCTCCCTGTTCACACACACAGGCACACATACACATACACATGCCCTATTGGGTCTGTTTCTCTGGAGAACTCTGAAAAATACAAAAAGTCAATGTTCTTTGTATGTAAGTCCTCTGAATACAGAAATGGCCACCTGACACAAGCCTAGACAATCAGAATCCTGCACTGGCTCCTCTGCCCTTTGCATCCTTTAATCTTTCCCACTGGTGCCATCAGAGCCCGCGCTGAGTCTGGCTTTGAAGAGGATTGAAGAATTGGGTTAGAACTCCATCTGATGCTGACCTGGCCTGACCTCCAAACACCGCTTCTCCCACTGCGCCCAAGATTAAGGAACTACCTCCGTGTTTGGGGACAGCTGTCCCACCTACCTGAACGCTCACTGTAGAGGGTTTAACTCTTGTTTTTGTTTCTTCATAATTCATTCTCTCATTCTTTGTCTTGATTCTCCTTCCAGGATGCTCCCTATGCTGTTCTTTTTTTTTTTTTCCTGAATATATAAGTAATATATTTTCTCTGTTGAAAATTCAGAAAATATGGAAAAGACTTTAGAAGAAAGTAAGTATCACCCATAATCCAACACTAAGCAGTAATAACCACTCTAACATTTAGGTATATTTTCTTCTTTTTTCTATGCATTTATGTGTTTTCTTTAAAAATTAAGATTG